TAGCCCTCTATATCCTTCCTCATCCACTGCTGCTCTTTCCATGCTGAAGAGCCCCAGCTTGCAAAGTGTGTTTCTTTGTGTGGGGGGCTTTGGTCATCTCTGTTCCCCCTCTCGGAACCTTTTCTGCAGTAACTGCTTTTATGCTAAAGGAACCATGACTGCACAACCTTATAATAAAGGTGCTGGCCTTCACTGGACTTGTAATGTTTTATTTTCTGTTCCTTTGGTAACAGGTACTAGCACTTGATTTCTGATTTTGACTGCCTCTGAACACTGAACTGACACTTCTGTTCTACTTACCATAACCCCGAGATCTCAGACTGAGCTATGTATCACTTCTGTTTCATGTTGTGAGAGGCACTGCCCAGTTTTGTCCTGATATTTTTTTCCTCATAAAACCAGGAAGGAAATGGCAAGTTTTTATGTCACATGGAATACACAGGCAGTGTTAAAGGCATGATCACCTACTGAAGAAATAAAAATGATGTGCTAATTTGACTGAAGGGAGTGTTGTTGCCTGTATCTTGTCTGTGGTCACTGATGCCTGTGTCAAACCCCACACATTTAAAAAGAAAAAAAACCAGCTGCCTAGGACTAATGGTGTTCTGTACAGTTTGCCTAATTTGCAATTGTCTTTTAACCTAGGAAGCAGCTCCCGTTGGTTGCTCTTGCTGAAATTCCTGTTGAGCTCTCTGGTTTTGTCCTCTCAGCCAGAATTCATTTCCAAATGTGAAGCTTCTGTGCTTGTGAAGATCAAGAGTTAAAGCCTTGCAGTTACAGGTAAGCTTTCTGGCTTCCAGCACCTCAATTTAAAGGTGGCTACAGAAAAGCCCCACTATTGGAAATGCCCAGATTCTTGCTGCTGGAACAGGTGTAGAACACTGGCCCTGGTGCTGTGTTGTTGGGTAGCAAAGTCCAGCCTGGAGGGCCGATGATTGCTTCAGACAGCTTTATCTGACCTGGAAGGATGAAAATCAGAAGCCAGCTCAGGCCAATAGTCTTCAGGTAGAGCCTTTCTGTAACTCGTATTTTAGCAGCTAGCTCACTTGTAGAAAGTGCAGAAAAAGATGCAGCAAATGGATTGGTGGGGAGAAAAGGGCCAGCTCTTGCAGCATGACTTTCATGGCACGCTGCTCATCTGTGCTTTGCATGAGTCTCATAAGCTTTACTTTCCTTCTGCAGTTGGTCTGATACAGTCCACTCACAGCAGTAAGCAGATATTTCCACACCAGAAACAAAGAGGTAAGATGGGAAATCTTTTCTTAAAGATTTTTCTCATGTCTCAAGTTCTTGAATAAAACACGTCCTAACACTGGCACTCACTCTGACTTAATGTTTACATCCCTTCAGCCAGTTCAGCCATTGCTTCAGTGTGGCATTCAGAGTACAAACAGCATCTTCAGCACCAGACATCAGTTTTAAACACTTTATTCATAATGACTCTGGGACCTCTCTCCACACTCTAGTTACAGTTCAAGTCACTGTGCAGTGGTGATGCAGAAAGCATCCATGGGCTGCAGGCCATTACAAAAAAAACTTCATTAATAGCATGGCTTTATTGGAAATAAATCATGCTAAAAACTGATCCTTAACAGGTACAAAAATTCAACAGATAAGGAAAGGAGAAGACTGGATGCAATCTTAAGACCAACATATGAACTGACAACTGCTGTGAACAATCATACAGAAAAGGCAATGAGGAAGAGTAACGCAGCATAAAGGTGGGAGTACAGGGCAGATGAGTTACAATACATCCTGCTTCAGTATTTCTCATCCACGTACTTTGTTCAAATACTGTAACAGTGACAGAAGGCAAAAAGCACCAGACATCTCACTAAAGAAATGAGAAAAAAGGAACACAAAATTAGGAACAAGTGAAAGGTGGTAATTAGGGAAGGAATAATCTCAACTACAGTTACTCAACAGAAACACAACACTTGGAAAAGCTGCTCTGTCAACGTACGTAGACAATACCATCTATCCAGCTCCGTGTCTTCATTAATGATATTGACAGCAGGATTGAGTGCACTTCTGGCAAGTTCACTGATGCTACCAAGCTGGCTGGTGAGGTTGATGTGCCAGAGCGAGGGGATGCCATCCAGAGGCACCTGGACAAGCTGGAGAAGTGGGCCCAGGTGAACCTCATGAGGTTCAACAAGGCCAAGTGCAGGGTCCTGCAGCTGAGTTGGAACAATCCTCATTACCAAGAAAAGCTGGGAGATGATGTGCTGGAAAGCAGCCCTGAGGAAAAGGACTTCGGGTACTGGTGGATGAGAAGCTGGACATGAGCCACCACTGTGAATATGCAGCCCAGAAGGCCAACCACATCCTGGGCTGCATCACAAGAAGTGTGGCCAGCAGGGCCAGGGAGGGGATTCTGCCCCTCTGCTCTGGTGAGACGTCATGTGAAGTAGTGCACCCAGCTTTGGAGTCCCCAGCACAAAAAGGACATTGAAGTGCTGGAGCATGTGCAGAGGCAGGTCACAAAGATGATCTGAGCACCTCAGGAGCACCTCTCCTATGAAGACAGACTGAGTTGGGGTTGTTCAGCCTGAAGAGGAGAAGGTTCTAGGGGCACCTTATAGCAAACTTCCAGGAGCTGCAAGGTGCCTGTAAGAAATCTGGGAAAGAGCTGTTCACTAGGGCAGGTAGTTACAGGGTGAGGGGTAATGGCTTTAAACTAGAAAGGATATATTTAGGTTGGATATTAGGAAAAAGTTCTTCAGTGGACAAGTTTTTTTGCCCAGAGAGGTGGTAGAGGCCCCATGCCTGGAGATATTCAAGGCCAGGCTTGATGGGGCTCTGAGCAACCTGATCTGGTAACACTGTCCTTGCAGGGGTTAGACTGGATCAGCTTTAAAGGTCCCGTCCAAACCAATACATTCTGAGATTCTATGGAAATTATTTTCCTGGTCTGTAACCTCTTCCACACACAGTACTGCTGAGGTTACCCTCACAGGGGTGTGCAGAGACACTGCATACACACAGCAAAGCAGCAGATTCATCAGAAGAGTAAAACAGGAGGAAGCTATTCCCACTGAAGGAGAAAAGCCACAATTAGGAGGCCATGTAATGTGGAACAAAAGCATCATTAAGCCTGTAACATGTAATGTTAGGCAGGAACACTGTGCAGCTACAGCTTTTCTCTGCCACAAAGCCAAGCCTCACCCACAGCAAGTCCACGTGCAGAACACAGCAGTTCCTGAAGTGAGAGAGGCCACAAGCAAGAGATCCTAGAAACCCGCCCTTCCTAACTTTGTCTCCTCGCAGCTGCCATAGACAGCATGTATTTGACCATATTTGCAGATGGCACTAAGCTGGGAGGGAGTGTTGATCTGTCTGAGGGTAGGAAGGCTCTGCAGAGCCTGGCCAGGCTGAATCCATGGGCTGAGGCCAATTGGATGAGCTTCACCAAGGCCAAGTACCGGGTCCTGCCCTTGGCTCACCACAACCCCATGGATGCTGCAGGCTTGGGGCCCAGTGGCTGGAAAGGAGCTGGGGGTGCTGGTGGCAGCAGATGCCCATGAGGCAGCAATGTGCCCTGGTGGGCAAGGCGGCCAAGGCCATCCTGGGGTGGAGGAGAAGGGGCGGTTGGAGGGCAGAGAGGTTCTCCTGCCCCTCTGCTCTGCCCTGGGGAGGCCACAGCTGGAAACTGAGTCCAGTTCTGGGATCCCTAGTTGAAGGACAGGAAGTGCTTGAAAGAGTCCAGCAGGGCCACAAAGATGCTGGAGGGAGTGGAGCATCTCCTGCTGAGGAGCGGCTGAGGGAGCTGGGGCTCTTGAGCTTGGAGCAGAGGAGCCTGAGGGGTGCCCTCATTCCTGGGTCTCCATTTGGAAAGGGCAGTGTCAGGAGGAAGGAGCCAGGCTCTGCTCTGGGATGGCCAATGCCAGGACAAGGGGCAATGGTCCCAAGCTGGAGCACAGGAGGTTCAAGCTGAAGATGAGGACAATGTCTGTCAGTGTGAGGGTTATGGAGCATGGCCCAGGCTGCCCAGAGAGGTTGTGGAGTCTCCTTGTGTGGAGACCCCCAAAGCCCTGGATGCACTCCTGTGTGAGGTAGTCTCTCACTCCTCCTTCTGTCAGGGGTTGCACTGGGGGAGCTTTCCAGGTCCCTTCCAGCTCCTCACATTCTGAGATTCAGTGAGAGGGGACAACTCCAAGAGGTCCACCAAAGATTTTAAAATCTAAAACTGAGTTTGAAGGCCTTCCCCCCCCCCCCCCAACAACTCTTAAAGTGATCAAGCCAGAAATTCAACTGTAGCTCAACTGTTTAATAGCTGGGAGTTGGTGGTGTCCTAATTCTGACACAACAGCCCAGAGATTGATGCACGGTTTGCATAGATCACTTGTCCCCTCTCCAGCCCAAAGCACATATAAGAGGAAGAAGTCACAGCTTGGGATTTTGTCTCATTTGTGAAAAACATGAAGTTGGGAGAAAAACAAAAAACAATCCCATTTCCAAAGACTTCTTCTGCATCCCCAGGTAGGGAGGAAGTGGGAGAACAAGCAACGTACAACACAAGTTATGGCTATTTCAAAGCCTCCTTGTCTTTAAATTAAGTTTGTTACAGGCCCCAGTTAAATATTACAAATTCACCAGTGCATACACTTCTGCACCTTTGTCCAGGCTGGTGGTGGTATTCTAGAGTGGTTAAGTGCCTTTTTTAATTTAAAAAAAGTTTTTACATTATTGCTGTGTTTTACAACATCATTAGAAACCATTTCTGGAATCCACCCAGCAACAAAAAGTCAATTTCCCCAGAACCAGCTAAACACACAAAAGCATGTTCCGAAGGGGCCTTTTCTACACCAGCTATTTAATGAGCAACAAAAAAACCCCCCTATCACTTCTGTTCCCAGTGTAGATTTCATTTTCCCCAATTCTCCAGAAGGCAAATATTTTCAATAAATACCAAAATAACTTCCAAGATGCTCAAGTCCCAGAGACACAAGCAGCAGCTCTGTAGAATTTCTCCGGGAGTCCCCATGCTGCCCCTTGTTTCAGTCCAGTGAGATGATGTCAGGAGCACTGCCTCCACTGCTGGTTATCACTCCCGTCTCGCTCCTGCCAGAGGAGCTAACGTGTGTGCTGCTCTCCTGGTGACTGGTTGATGTGATGATGCTGCCAGATGTGCTGCTTGTTAAGGTTGAGGTGAGACTATCCAAAAACATAGGAGGACAGTACTGTTTGAAACAAACAACGAAGAATAAAGAGACTAACTGCACAAGGGAAATGTATGCGCTGAAGATACATCTTCCCTACAACAAGCACCAAACACGTTACCAGCAGAACCTCGTTAACACATGCACAGCAAGAACCAGAGGTTCTGCAGACCAGCAAGTAAGCAAGCAGAGATGGTAGCCATGAGCCCTTCTCCCTCATCCTCCCCATTTACTTGTTTTCCTTACTGACTGGTTAGCTTGAGCATTTACTAGAGCAGTAAGAAACACCATCATGAACACAGGATGATCACAAAGAAACACCCATTGCATTTGGAGAGTGTTCACTGCCCACAGCTACTGGGCACAACGCCTTTCATCACAAAAGGTAGCAGGATGCTTTCTCCTGCTTCCACAAACATAATTTCATCCCCTCCAGTGGCAGCAGCTGTGCCAATCAACATTTTCACAGTACATACCTGCAGTGATACATGCAGGTCCCTAAACGTTTTAGCAGTGATAAATGAGCCCTGATCAAGTCTGATTAAGAAAAATTACTAAGTTGATTTAAATAATCTCCTGCAGTGGAAAACAACCCTTCTCAAAGCAAAGCTAAACATTTTAAGCACTTAGAACAAGGTTGCCAGGTGAACAAGGTGTCAAAAAATAACATACAGCACCCCACATGCACGCACACACGTGGTGTTCCACACATCTTACTTTCTCTTACCCTGGGGATTCCAATCTTGGGCATATGTTTGGAACTGAGCCTGAACTGTTTGAACTGTCCAAAGTGGACACTTCCTAGCAGCATACCTGCTTCCAAACTTCTGTTATTCCCACTTCTGGCAGTTCAGACCTCAAGGTCAGGCACAGAGTATTGCCAGATGCAGTAAGTGGAAAGAAAAGGAGGGAAGTTCATCCTTTGTTTAAGGCACCAGGAAGTCCACTCTACTGTAGAGTCCTATTACTGCTGTCTGCTAGTAACAGATGAAACAGAGGGTCTGCTTCAGATCCTCTTGTCTTGGTTAGGGAGCCAATACTCCCCACATTTCAAGGCTGTAGTCTGTGTAAAAATCTAGTTACAATTAGAATCACTCTGCCTGTGTTAAGTTTAAGCTTCCAGAGAAGGAAAGGCACCACCTAGTAGTTACTGTTGACCTACAAAATTTCCATATAATCCAAAACCAATGGGGTTTAGGTGTTACATGGAGGGATTTATTATGAAAGCCTTCAGTCATGTGCCTATCAAATTAATGAAGATGTTTTCTTTAAAACTTAAATCTCCCAATATCAAACCCAACAGAAACAGCAACCAGAGGAGTCTATTTACAGAGCTTAATCTGGCCCACAGATACACAGCATGAACTAAGAGCAAAGTACATGATATATTTGAGTCAGTGCTGTGCAAGTGTCTGAAGCTTTAGAAACACAAACTGTTGATATAGAGCAAGTTGCCATGCCTGGATTTATCCTAGTGAGGCTATGCTGAATCCTCCCTTGCCAAATCTTGTTGGGAAAATGGATTTTCCTGGTCTGTGGCTGGGTCTAAGCAATGGACTGCAAACACAGTATGGATGATGACAGCACTCTGATAGCTACTCCAGCAGTATGTCACAAAAAACACCCCAGAAGTGAACCCCACAGCAGTTCAGAACGTACCTGTGAATCAACTGGAATTAGCGATAGAAAATCCAAACCTAGAAAGAAGAAAAGGATAATAAATTGATGCGTCTTTCTTTTATTCACAACACAACAAATTTAAGGAACTTTTTTTGTGGTTGTAGAACAGATTTTTGGCAATTGCTACACAGTTTCTACATGGAGTATACCACTGTGACACCACTCTCAACGACTACTTCAGGCAGCAGCAAAACGAGTGATCTAGTACAAGTGGCTCTTTTTAAGGATGAGAATGACAATGATTTATTATTCACTGGATATTGCAGGGTGGTTCAATGTGGTTGCTTAGATGGAGGTTGCCATTTGGAGCTGTTGGTTCATAATGCAAGTTTTCACTGCATATTGTACCTGACTTGGCCAAACTGGGACATGAAGAGTGTCATCACATTAAAGATGCTGGAATGAAGTAAAGTCACAACATGCACAAGTCCAAAAACAAGCAGCAGGTCTCTTCCTCCACCCACGGGCAGCCAATAAGGAAACATTTCTAATATCATCCCCGTTTTGTGTCTAGACAAATAAAAGGAACGAAGAAGAGGAAACTACAAGTAGTTCAACGTATATCCTCTAAGAGCAGCGACAACTAGCGTCCATCTTATACACCATTAGTGGGTAAGCATTTAGGGCAAGATGTTTAAAATTATTAAACCAATGAGAAATTACAGTCTTTTTTTTTGTTTTGTTTCTAAATATTGGCCTTGTGTTTGCTATGTCAACAGAAAGAAATGGTAAACTTACTCCCTCCCTCTCCTCTCACTTCCAAATCTCTTCTAGCTGGTGGCATCTCTCTTCCTTTCCATGAGAGGAGATTTGGAAGGAGATTTAAGCTCAGTTGCTTTTACAGCACTGACATCTGCTTTTGTTCTTGTAGATGTCTAAAACTTCAGTGGACAGAGATGGACAACAGTTCTAGACTTCTACTCTCTCAGCTTACTCTCCTATTCAATTTGGGAAGACGGCCGATTAACAAGGGAGAAGTGGAGGGAGGGAGCAGTAAGGGAACCAAAATGGACAGAGAAACGAGGGGAATGATATCCATCCCATTGCCAAACTGGTGCTGAAAGAAGAGGAAAAAACCCAGAGATGTTGCAGGGGAGAAATGGAGACAGGCAATGGAGAGGGGAGAGGGAAGTACAGGAGGCCAGTGTGACACCTGTCACCTCAAGTCGCCATTTCCTGGGCTCTGGGTTTGTTACAGCCAAAGAGAACCCCCAGAGTCCCTAAATACAGTGTTCTTTTCAAGGAGCCAGGATAGAAAACAATCAGTGTCCCCACCTTTTGTCTGATATTTAGCAGCAGTGTTGAAGAATACATCATTTAGGGTTTGTCTAGGTAAAGAAAGTCAATAGAGGTCAGCTTACATATTGTAGCTCACCTTAACCTTTTTCATACAGTCTAGACAGCACCACAAGAATCAGCGAGCAGAACATCTCTACATCTAGGGGTGGGATGAGTCAGTGCCATCACACACCTACAACTTAGATAGCTGTTCTCCCTTGCATCTGCAACATGGACAACCAGACATTTACACAAAGCCTGACTGAACATAGCAAGAAGGGTTTCTGGCTGCCAGTCTGAGGATGTACCCCAGAAGCAATGCTTTTCACATCGCTGGTGCGAAGCACAATCTGAAACTGGAAAGACAGCCTGTACTAGACTTGTCTAGACACCACACCAGGGCAATACTGTATAGTCTTGTTCCATTAAAAGAAATAAATTAAATCGATTCTCCAATTTTTACCCACCCCACAAATTAACAAGGCTGACGAAACATACATTAAAAATAGCCACCACCTACCTGGCAGGTCTGATGAAATACTGGATATTGGCGGGTGATGGAATGGTACTGGGTAGTCTGTTAACGAAGGAGGAATAGCAGCAGCATCGACCGTTGTCACGCTGGGCACTCTGACAGAAGATGGCTGATACATGAGAACCCTGTTTCAAACAGCACGGGAAGTTACAAACAACCTGGCCGTTGGTTACAGAGGAGAAGTTACACACCGCTGCGCGCTCTCATTCACAAGGTCACTATGTTACAACAACTATAGCGTGGCTACTCACTACACAGTATTCCACTCTAATTTCCTTTTTCATAACAGTCTTCATAACAACATGACCGTATCTTGGCTCTCAACAGCAGCTGTGACATAAGAGCAAGTTGGCATTAAAACAAAAGTACAGTGCTGGAGTCATTTACAACAGTCTACCACTCAGACAGAAATGGGCGTCTGTGTCAGTGGAGCACACATCCCTGGGAGGGACGTGCAGGTAGCCAGAGCCAGGAGGAGAGCACTCGGTTCAGTTTCTCCACAGAACTTTTCCTTGGTGCTAACCTGTCACGCCAAGGGCACAACTGATTATTCAGCTCCATTATTCAGCCCCTGGAGCACAGATTGCACATGTGGGAGTTAAATATCAAACCCACCTTTACTCACAGCCTGAGCCCAAGCTAAGCTCAGCTCTCCAGGAGCATGCAACCAGTTAAAACCCTCCTGCATCCCCACCTTCTGCCCAGTTACATCACAGCCCTGTTAGAGGTGACACCACAGGCATGCAGGCACCAGCCACATGCATAGAGTCTTTCCTAAACTCCAAGGCAGGTAAAAACACTAAGAGTCCTGGATCCCAGCACTGCATCCCTCCCTACAGCCATGACTGTTACCCAGTCATGTCCTCCTCCCCAGCCTGCTGCATTTATGCCACTTCTGATTTCAGAAGCTCCCTTCTCAAGCACCACTTACACTTCAGCCTATGTTGCTTCTGCCTATAGGACATCACCCCCCAGTTTTGCCAAAACTAGTATTCACTGTTTACAGGAGATAAACTACTCCCCAAAAGCCTGGCTTTGACTTGGATTTGAAGAATGAAAACATGCCATTTCCATACCCAAACAGTAAGGAAAATACATTGGTCACAGATACACGAGAAAACTGAGTCCTTCTACAGTTATGGTTGCAGGTAGCCATCTCAGACAAACACAGGAGTACTGAAGGAAGTCTTGGTGCCTTCTGAAACTTCATTAAGAGATGTATTTGTAGCTATTTTTTCTTACAGTCTCTTGCAGGACTCCTCCACAGTCCTCACAACAAGCAACAGCATTTCAGTATCACTGCTGAGAGTTGTTGAAGTTGACCAACTATTTTCTCACCAAAGACCACACATTCCTGTGGACTAGAGACACAGTACACCTGCTCATGACTTCAAGAGCTGGCAAAACAGAAGGGGTTTGGTTTTGTTACTGTTATTTTCATACAGGACATAAGCCACTACTCAGACACAGACACACACCGCATGCGTGCAGCGACACTAATTACTAAGCCATTACTAAAAGCTGACATTTGGAATTGCCTTATGGAGCGGTGACTGCTCTCAAGCCTAAGCAGTGTCCCTCTCTCCCTGCAGATCTCCTGCACCCTACAGGCCAAAAGCAAGAACTTTCTGGAAGCCACAAACAGTAACTACAGCTGAGTTGCACGGATTGGGACAGACAGAAGGCGGCACAACAGTAAAGCAGCTGGTTAAGCCTGCCGCTGAAGTCAGGCATGGCTACGAAGACAGAGTAGCTGACAGAGGACTTGGGGAATTGCTGGTTTTGCTAACCAAGGTGAAGGACTGACTGATAACCACGGCCAACAACAGCATCCGAGACATTCCCGAGTTTAACAGAGATGGAGGAAAAGCTTGCCTTGATTCAGAACAGCAAAGCACCTCCCTTCCAGCACCGACAGGATGGATGAAACACGCAATGCAGCCTAGCTTTCTGGGCACCAGAGCAGGTTAGATAAAGGGTGACAGCTACAGAAAGCCTTGAAGATGACACTAACTTAGCAAAAACGCATAACGCTCCTCCACTTGGCACAATCTGCTTTCTCAGGAGAATCCTGTCCATTAGCTTAATCAGCTTCCTTTTCTATGGAGAAATGTCCCTGCAAACACAGCAACAGTGAGCGCAAGTCTTTTGAGAGAGGCAAAACTATTTAATAGTGTTTTGGCTGTACAACGGTACTGCATCGATACAACCCAGGAGAGGCCTAGAAATTCTCCCGAGAATGTGGAGCTGGATCCCGAAGAGATATTACAAGTCCATTATCTACTCATCAGTTTATCTGAGACATTACAGAATAACAACTAACTTTAAAATTGACAAACCCTTTGGTTGGGCTTCCTTGTGTTTCAGACATAAATATGCACTTCCTTTTGACAGGAGGATCTTCTTCTTCATCAGAAGAGCTTTCTATTGTCAAGTCAATAACATCAACTTTCTTCTTGTTTACTTCACTGGCCACCGTCACAGAACACGGTTTGCTAACAACACTGGAACCTAAACGAGAAAATAAAATACTGCTGGTTTTTAAAGGCTGTTGACAGCAGCAGTTGCTATTTGCAACAGAACCAGGAATTCAAATCCTGTTTTTGCTCATCTTCCTGGCCTCTACGGAGCACTATGGCCCAGGAACTGTTTTATTAATATTCCATCTCATGTCAAGGCTTTAATCTTCACTTACCAGTTTAAGGACCTAAACCAAGAGCAACCTTTCATTTTCTTAATTGATGTTATAAAGTGTAAAGACAGCTCACAAATGCACACTTTTAAGAGACACAACCCTTTCTTTTTAGTTTAAATTAAAAGTAGGTTAGAAGTATTAAGCCCTCCACAAAACAAACATCAACATCCACACACATTATCCAAGCTACAACTAAGTCTCCAAGACTTCTTCTTGGTTTACAACCAGTACCCTGGTGTACGTACTTTCTATTTTGGTGCACTGTGGACTTGAGACTTTCACAGCTTCTTTCTTTGGCCTCATGGGGCACCACGAGCCATCTTCTTGGAACTTGATCTCATCCACATCCGAACACTCATTAAGGATTTCCATAAAGAGCCTGAAAAATAAAGTTGAAGGGTTTCAGTTTTGATTCCAAGTGATTTTTTTTTATTCCAAGTGAAAAGGAGAGACAGTTGAAAAGCTAATTATGCTAATTACTGTCACCTTTAACACGCTGCATGTACTTGCTCCCTAGTTCATCTTACCTGGAAGCCTGTAATTACAGCCTCTGCAGACACCAACACCTACAAAGTATACCCCAACCTACCCATATTCCACTACAACATTACTGCAATCTATACATTTCCATACAGAAGCGATCATCATCCTTTGAATCAAGTTTAACACTTGTTTATGTGTTAAAGTTTGAAATTTAAAGTTAATAGCTTAAGAGAGAGGGTCACCTATCCTTAGGCATCACATTTGGATTTCTCCCAAGGAGGTATCCTGAGGCTCAAGAGTTTTACATGCAGTTTGGAGATGAACTTGTGTCTTTCCTTACAGAGGAACAGAAACAAATAAAAGTCTAGCAGTTCCTCCCAGTCTAATGTATTTTAACAAAGAAAATAGTACGAAATGGCAAAATCTCAAGGCACAAAAGCAGCTATCAATTACATAACGATAAATTTTAAGTATTTGTGTAATATGCAAACCCAGTCTCTTACCCATCTAAGATCAGGCTCTCATAAGCTGCCTTTTTGTCACAGACAGGGCAGATCCAGGTAGGCTTCTTTTCATTCATTTGAAGATAAAGAGCAGCATCAAAACATTGCAGGTGTGTGCAAGTAACAGCCCGGCATGGGATTGTCAGTCTCATTTTTCCCAGCTGCAGGAGATGCATTAGAAAGTGTCAGAGCAGCAGACAGTGAAGCAGCCTGGATGGCTAACAACGACATTGGTGAAGTAATTGTCTCTTCTCACTAGAAGTGCCCAGTGCTAAGATCGCTGAGGGCAAAGCCACCCTGTGGGTGCACTTCAAGAAACAATAAAGTCATCCTCAGAGTCTTCACTGGGATGAAACCTCTCAGAAATATTTCTAATGGGACCTGCATCAATGTTATTTCTAGGAATTTATTTCTATTAAAATGCCTACTGAAGCACTCACTTCTATAGTGTTCTTCTAGCCAAATATTTCAAGGGGTTTTTATGAGCTCCGCTTACATTAGACTCAGACTGGCATAATACTTGCTTTAACATTTAGCTTATCAACACAAACACAAGGCCAGTTTCTACCTGGCAAGAGAAACCTGAATGCAGCGTTACCTTGTTACACAGCGATTGATTTTTTTGTTTGTTATAGTAGCTGGCAGCATAAGCAATAACACCAAGATAAGGAGAGCCTTTTTATTTATCACTGTGTCTGTTAATTATTCTGTCATCCTGCCCAATGAGTCTCAATACACGAGATTACTCCTTCTAAAGGCCTCACCACACACACAAGTACCAGCTTCATTCTGACTGCACTAGAACTGAGGCATTTACAGTTCTAAACCTGAGTTTGTTGAATGCTGCTACAACCAGCGTTCTTTTAAACGCATTCTTCTCCCCCCTATTTTATATTAATGAATCAGTACAGACCAAAAGCCATAGAAGTTCCTAAAGCAGGGCCTTTTAAAAGCAGCCCAACTCTGCAGTAAAGATGAATACATAAATCTGTATACAGTGATTTCCAGCCATACTCACAGGACACATCAGAGAAACCCGCAGACTGGTTGTGGCAATCTCACTATCAGGATCTGCAGTCAGTTTTTCTTTAACTATTAAAATAAATTATGAGGTTACATACAGACATTATTTAAACACTAATCTTGATTCATCAGTACACATACTTTATTTCCAGCTATCTAAAAAACATTAAGCATCCAGGAAACTGGTTCATAGCAACATCAAACAATAGTTTCACTACTTATAAGCAACTGGCAAACACTGCATCACAGGACTGTCTGATGTGCAGCAGATTCAGTAACAGCCACAATGGTCAGTAAAGCAAACTCCCTAACAACTGAAAAGACAAATAAAATAATCATTGGTGTGTGAGGTACAAAGACAAGACCATCAGCATGCCATGCAATAAGAACTCATATTTAGGCCACGTACTTGCACCTCACAGCCAACCACAGTAACAGGAATGCTGTGAGCACCACTAACATTTCAGATGGCATCTCCAGGTGTGCATGATGCCTCAACAACAGCAGAGGGAATGTCTGATACCCTGGGCATGGACTTCCTTTCCAAAATGCTGCAAATCCCATAATATTACCAGCTCTAGTTTTAAAAAGTGACCAACCACCCTCAAAAAGTACAAACATGCAAAGTAATTTGACTTACTTAGCGCTCTGGAATGATCAGGGTTTCTGATACCTTTCATTTTTAACCTCTGCAAAAGCATTGCTGAAGTGAGCTGGCGAACGAGATACACAGACATGGAGTAATTCTACAAGAAAAGTGATTAAAGGTTAAATATTGATTTCATACAGTACTTCCACTATGACAACAGATTGCTGTTAATGTGAGTAATATCCTTTCCTTTTTACAGAATAAATCTTAGTGGGGAGCTCAGTGACAAAAAGAAATTCTCTCAGGGGCAAAACCAGCACATTCAGGTGGCACACAGCTCCACCAATTTCCTTGTGCCTTCTCTTTAGCTTGCTCTGCACTTTTAAGCAAAGCCCCTTTACACCATGTCCACTCCTCTGAGGCTGACCACGTTCCCTAGCACTTACTACTCTTCCCTAATTCACACTGCTTGCCAGCTCCTTTTGTCCAGTGTTCACTCTCCTCAAGGTCACTAATGAAGAGAAAATTCTGCAAGTCTCACCACTGCAGAATAATAACGATTTCATCTGTAATCTCTTATTTCCACTCCCTGCCAGTCACCTTCTTATAGCTCCTATACTGTTTAGGTACCCCACAAGATTTTTAAACACCATAACCTACTGCCCTGCTTCTCCTTTACCACCTGTAGCAAAATCAGCTCTTGCCTAGATGAGCAGCTGTAGTTGGCCAAATGCATGGGAAACCACTACAAAATTAGATTTTCCCATACATTGCACTGTTTATTGCCTACAGTATGAACTCTGTGGGCTAAAGCCTGACCTACTCTGTGGGATTAACATCTCCTCTGCTCAGAAGCCCTCCACTGTCAGTCAAGTCCATGCCAGTCAGCCCTTCCCACATGAGCCTGCTGGGAGTGCTGGGACAACCCCCAGTTCATCTGTTTCCACGAGAATGTGTTTTGGCAAATACAGTGAGGGGGAAGAAAGCAGGGGGCAGCAGGAGAGGCCAAGACAACACACTCAAAAATTTTAAGACTCATACTTTATGACTGGGAAGCAACAGCTTAGATCTTTTCCTTCACCTCCATTTTAAATAACACTTTACTGTCAGCACTGCCCTTCATGTATTTTCTGAACACCAGCTTTCTCTCCAATTTCTTCTTAGATTTTTAATTAGCATACAAAAGCTTATACTGGAGTCTCACTTAGAAACATATGACATCTCTGTTCCATAGATTCTGAAGAAAAAAAAAAGAGGTAAGCTACTTGGATAACTGAATCCAGAAGCAGTTACACAGCTAGTTACAGATAGAGAAGTAAGTAGTTCTTGAGCCACCAACAGCTATTCAAACCTAAAAAGAATTCAGAAGTTGCTCACACCCTCCCCTTCTTTCCTTAGTAAATCCATAGGGGGATTTCTAAACAGCCACACAGCCATTTTAAAGGCTACTTCCTTTTAAACTATGATTAATGACTGCTGGCACCAGAAAGCAGCAGGTATCGCATCTCAGTCACCATCCTCTATCTCTTGCCACCTGAAGTCTAGCGTGCTTTTCTCCCCTGCAGCTTTCCATGAAGTTCAGAACTGCATTATGAAGAGGCTTCAGTTTTTATTTTCCTTTTTCTTTCCTCTCCCCCCCTCCATCTTTACCCATATCACACCAGTTCTTCCTCAAGTCACCCAAACTTCCAGGAATACTCTTCATTTTTAAGAAAAACCATGCTGCTCGGATATCCTACATTCCAAAAAACCCACACCACACAAGTATGGTTGAGATCCATCAACACCTCACCAGTAAATCTTCCCAGTAACCTTCCATTTAAGAGCTTTGAGCTAGAAACTCCACCCTGGTTGTGGTTTATTTACAAGCAGTTTTAAAACAACTCAAAGAGGCCATTTTCATGTAAAAAAAAAGGAATCTCAGAAGAACAAAAGATGGAAATAGCCATTAACCAGTTCTTCCTATGAAATAAAAATTGTCTTTGTACAATTACTTAGTATTATTTGGTTAATGCAAAAACCTCAAGAGCAAATGCCTATCTCTGCCTCCACGGCCCTGGCACACCTAAAAAAGCCTTCTCCAGTGAACAGTTACAACAGATACTGAGAAGGGTTGTTGTGTCATGTCTGAACTACTCTGTACTATTTACACCACAAAAAGGTTTCGGTATTTTTGACACATTTCAGGCAACTAACAGCAGGCATTCTAGTGTGAATTCCATAAGGAAGTCTGTATGCAAGTCTTATATATGTCACTGTCAACCACCACACTTCTAAAGCAAACTTTGTTCCCTGGCACTGACAAAAAGTTAAGCTGCTTAACACTAAATGCTTGCTGGTTTATGCCTTGCCAGCAACATCAGCAGGAGAGAAGGAATGCTAGCTGAGGTTACTCAGATGACTTTCCACATCCTACAGAACATTGCGTTTACCTTTCCAATTTCAGAAGCCCAAGAAATGGAAATCTGGTTTGGCACTGCTGACGACAACCTAACTAGAGATGTTATATTCAAGGGGCGCCCAGGTCTCTTCTGTTCAATTCCATTTTTTGGTGGTGGAGCATAGCCCTGTGGGAAGAAAGGACAAGGAAAGTGTTACCAAGATTCCTTGCTGTACTCCATGTAGAGAGAGAGCAAACATTAGTCACAAAGTCCAAGTCATGTACACCATGTAGCTGCATGTCTGGAAGCATGAGACTAAGCACTGGGAAAGGTGGCAAGCACCCGGCAAGCACTGGGCAAGGTGGCAACCATCACTAGATCCGTATCTGGTGTTATCTAGATGCCTGGAGGAGTGTCAGATGAGGTGGAGGCCTCATGGTCCCAGTCCCCCATTTCTTTCCACCCCAAACAAAAGGAGCCATTACCTCTACCCATGCAGGTGTGAATTAACGGACTTTGTGACACTAACATAACTGATAAGGTTGTCTGTAGTCATCCCCACCTGCATGTATGCCTAGTGATGTAATGCAGAAATTTGAGTGTAACTATCACCTCAATTTTGGCCCAAAAAGGGGGACAAGATGAACTCAGAACCACATGGATGAACTGGACGAATTGACGAATTCACTCCCTCTCCACCCCCACCACTCAGGTCACCTTGTGGGTAAGAATATTTACCTCAGCTAACGCTGAGTGATATACATTTTTCTTTTCCTCAGGTTCATATAACCTAAGTGCATTTTATATCTCCGTCCTCACGGGCATTTCTAGGTTTCCCTGAGTGTATTCTTGGTTTTGCTCCACTGTATTTCTGCTCAAACTGGCTTGTTTGCCAGGCGGCCAGGCTTAATGTGGGCAAGTTGTTATTGTTGTTAGTGTTTGTGTTGCTTTGTTGTTGGTATTATATTAGTTATACAACCTTTAGTGTACCTGTAGCTTTTCAATTTATCACCAGCAATCCAAAAGAACCTGTAAATGTTGCTGTAAATAAACAATTACTATTTGTTTCCCAACCTGTGTTTGTTGCATATTCTGTGCCGGCCTCACAAGACCGGATTTATTTCCCCGTTTTTGCAACACTCCAAAACCTGCTGAAACAGACCTGTTAGTTTTAAACAGATCTACGGGAAGCAGGTAAGCCTAGAGGATCCCTAGGCTGGAGACTAAATTCAACATTTATTCAGAAACATCAGTCTTTGACAGTCTAATACTGTAAGTTAATCACAGCTGACTTAAACCAAATATTTTTGGGTTTAAAGTGGTCTTACAGAAGTGCTGAAAAGATGGAAGAGAATGCAGTTTCGGTCCAGGTAAGTTCACTGGAAAAGTAAAAAGCAGTGCTGATGCTCTGTCCTTCCCACCCTCACACCCTGCTGCAAAACGCCAGAACATCTTAAGGACACAGCCCTATTGACAAACACAGCAAGTCATGGAGAGTTACTCAGTGTTTCACACCCAGGAAATACTTCATTGATTCTATTTAAGAAATATTTAAGTCTTGTTCCAAGAGTTCCATATCTCCCTGGCATCTGCTTTGCCTCGAATCGACGACACCTAGCCCCATTAGCAACAGGTTGTCATCTGTGCTCTGCCAAGGCCCCTGAAGAGCAGCTGTAGGCTGAATATCAAGCTGCATTTAAGAGCTAATAGGCTTTGCTGTTGTCTGCAGAACAAAATGAACTCTAAATTCTTTGCTCAGCTTTGATGAAGAATTTCATAACCTGGACTGCTTTCCTCTCTAATTTTATTTCCTATATGAAGTTCGCGAATGGGATCAGGAGCCATCCAGTTCCCCTTTGCTTTGCTGGACAGTAAGTCCAGCATATCGTGAGCAGAAAGTACTCGTGCTACATGAAGGAGCACACGGCCCAACTGCAGCTCATTCATCTTGCCCTGTGTCTGCTGCTATGAAAGCAAGGCTGTCTGTGACAGGAACTCTGAGAATCTGTTTTGAGCTCATACAGACAGCCTGCAGTCCACTCATCTCAAAAAAACCTCATTCCGTACCAGAAGGATGCCAATAAAAGATTGCAGCCCTGTGTCTTGCACAGAACCGACTGACAGATTTCATTTAGTTCAAGACGATGTTGTTCTATACAAAAAAAACCTCTCCATGCTGAAAAACCACAAACGTGTATTTTTTTACCCAGTGAAACACATTCACAGCCTATTGCTTAAAATAAACTTAATTTGAAAGATGCTAAGTCTGAAAATAAAATCCAGAAATAATCAGCCTCTTCCACTCATAACAGCCACAGCCATTTACAGAGTACATATCTTAGTTGCTCTGCTGTAGTAGGCCTTTCTCCACTAAGGTGACTTTATAATGAGCTTATGTGGGCAAACACGCCATCCCTGCAATATTTAGGAGATTATTTCAACACATTCTGTACCAGCCACAATAATCCTGCTGGTCTCCAACCTAAACTGAAGCCACCTTGCTTTCAAAAGAGCAAGGATGCAAGTTCTCTTACACTACTTTTTTTTTTAGATAAAGGCTTTGCAGCACACATGCTTCGTTCCAGCCAAGATTTTGACATTTTCTTCCCCAAAGCAATGACCCTAAGATCAGATTCAATCTTGTACACCTAGAACACTTTAAAATATTCCCTTCTCAACCTTCCAGGAGTTAAGTAAAGAGCACTCTGCCTTCCTACCACAACCACCATGGTCTAGCACTGTTTAGGTTACGCTGCCAATTCTAGCTGCTAGCAAGTGCCAACGTTACTTGGTTCTTTAAGTCTCCCGTGCTTCTTGCAAGAACAGCATTAGTCAAAGCAGGTAGAATCTGCTGGAGCCAGAAAAATCTACCAACAGAAAGCGTAGCTGCTATTTCCAGCCTGCCCTGACTTACTTGATTTTGTCCTTTGAAAGAGACCTGCAGTGGTTTATAGAGGTTCCCTGAGAAAAGCAGATTACCTTTCTGGATTTTTGCATTTTGTCTTGCCTACACAAGGCGGCAACAGGAGAACCACCTACTATAGTGCATTATGTGTAAAATCCTTGTTACTTGCCATAACAACAGCATGCAAGGCCCTACATTTATTCCTTTTAAGCCAGAACCAACACTGTTAGAGGAGGACACATAGTTTTAGGAATACAAAACACCAAGTTAACACTGAGTCGGCACAACCTGAAGCAGTACTGGCACACTGGCACTATTTCTCCAAAGTTCCTGGTAAGGATTGCAGCCAAGGAGATGACCAAGAATAATTTGCAGACATCTGCAGAGGCATGAACTGCTGTACCAGGGATAGGCAGAGCAGTACTCACTAAGAACTGTACAAGCTGGCAATAGAGGCTGGCATCACTGAATTACCTAACACCAACGCTACCAAGTTGGACAATGGTGGTCTTTGAAGCAAAGAAGTTATCTTGTACTTCCTGCAACAGAAAAGAACCACCAGAGGGATGCAGACAGTGACCAAATCAACAAAAAGCTGTCTGCAGAACTGCTCAGAGTGAGACTATATTTGTCACTCAGCCCATACTGAGACAGGAGAGGAAAGGAAGTCACCAAGATAAGTCATTTATTCATTCTCACACCTAAAGTTTCTGCTGAACAGCTTAAAGAACCATCTTATGATGTGTGCAGGAAGAACCCACAGGATTTAGATCGAAAGCAAAGCAATAATCCAAGACTCCAAACAATTTTTGCTACGACTGTGACGTATGTTACGCAAAAAATGGGAAGCATAACACAGCATAGCAGGGCGTAAACTGTATTAGGAAGACTGAGAACCAGCAGACATTGATGTCCACAGGACAACATCAGACCAAGTTCCTTTTTGGGGGGGTGCTTAAAGAAAGGAAAACAATCTGCAGAAGAAAGGAGAAAACCCCGACTTTACTGCAGGGAACATAACAGGCATTTGCAGAAAATACTAACTAGAAATCATATGAAATAAATCCTTGCACACACTGAAGACAGATAAAATAACAGTGATGCAATGGTTAAAGAGGAGGGAAGGGAAGCTAGAGAGGCTCATTTTAAGGTGAGTAAAGGCAAAAGAAAAGCAGTCATGGTCACATACGGCAGGAAGGAAACTACAGGAAAACAAATCTGACACTCCAAGAAGGTGACAAATATTCTGAAAGAGGTTTCACAACACTCTGCACAGAGTATTTTTCCAAACCCACTGTTATAAAAACCCATCACCTCTGTACTACTACTTTTTAAATCTTCTGCAGCTTCCAGAACTATTTCAAAATGGACTGCATAATAGTTTACCTCTGTTCTGTTGTACAGATACCCGTTCCAGAGATTCTTCAAGAATAATGACTGCTTTCCCCTTTTTTTCAAGCTTTGAGGTGACCCTGCCCACATATTAACTTGTGCAACATCAGTAAAGTGTATGACTGCCAATGCTGTTCTGTTCCAGCATCAGCAAGTGCTGGGAACCTTACAACATGTCTGTTCTTCACCCCTGCAATGAATTCTGCTCTACCCAGACAGATGCAGAGCAGCGTACAAACCTCTACACAAGAAGGTGATGCCATTCCCTCATAACAAGAAGGAACTCAAGCCAATCCCAAATATAGATGGCCCAAACAGTGATGGCTACAACCAATCAAGTCAAATAAACTCAGCTTCAAGACCTATGAGAACTCCCCATGTAGACACTGGTTTGTTTTTAACATGTTTTTGTTGTGTTGACTCCAACAAATGAGGTTTGCTATATGTGACTAAAACATAATTAATCGCAGCAGTGGCTATAGCATGATTAATAGTAGCTATGGCTATCTCACACAGCAAACATTCATGACTAGAGAAATGTGAGTGATAATAAGCACCTTGATTGTTTCAGCAAGCCAACACTGCAGAACACACACACAATCCCTCCCCTTCAAGTCACCAAGAAGCCACAAATACACACGAACAAGCTTACCGGCAATGGAAACAGCTTCCCATTTACTTTAATACACAAATTATTAGGGTAATTATCTTCTTGAGGACAGCTTGTCTCTGCTAGGCATAACCTACATCCAAAAGAAAAAACCCAACAAAAGAAGTGTCATTTCTCAAGTGTCACCACGTTCGTATTTCCCCACATACCTCTAGACTTCTGTTACATTAGCCAATTTAGAAGTTATAAGAGAACACTGAAAAAGGTACCTTAGCTGAACTTGGACTGTGTAATCTCGCCTGCCTCCTGGCAAGAAGTCCCTGTGACAAAGAGAAAACAGAAGGACCCATTTAGACAGCAGCTCTCGTATTCCAGTCATATGCAGAAGCAACTGGCCCATCTGCCCCAACAACACTGAACTTTGCTCTTATTTTAACTTTATGGAGCTATGAACAAGTCTTACGAGCGACACCTCTGTTTAGTTACTGCAAGTTAAGCAGGACTTTAGGATCATCCTCCTCTGTCAAGCGTTTATAGTGACAACAAAATACGGTGCTGCCAGAGAGGAAAAAACCCTGTGAATTCTCTTGGCTTACACCATAGGTCTTGGAAGGACACACAAACTCTGGGAGCAGCTTTCCATTCCTGCAGCCAGGAAACATGCAGGGAAGAAAAGCATACCACCTTTCTAAATAGTCTCAATTATTTGGAACGGAGTAATTGCCAACTCTTTCATGGAGTAGGATTTACACCAACCACACAAATTTTGTGCACAGTAGTTCCTGGAGAAAACGGAACAGATAAATTCAGTGTAATTTCAGCAAGGATTATCACTCTGCATCTGCAAGCTTCTGCAGTGCACAAAGTGAACGGAAAACCCCACACTTTCTCCTGAAGTTTTGCAAAAAAATACCTAAAATTATTCCACGCTCTTAATTCTTACCTGGAAATACAGATTTCTCTGACCTGCTGAGGTGTTAAAGCAAAGATAAAAAACTTCTCTTGGAACCTCTGAATACTGCTCTGTACTATAAAAAAAAAAGACACAAAAGAGGTTTAGCCACAGTAATTAAAGTCATTGATTAAAACAGGATCTGCGATTGAGTTTTTCTTGGAACAAGGGACGAGTCACTTAATATAATCAAACTGTTGTTGAACTGCATGTAACTGTCAACAGGAAAGCAATGGAACAAACCATTCATTCAACTATATTCAGATGGCTTAATATCACATTACACTTCAGCACTAAAGAAGCTTGGCAACCCGTGTTATAATCCCTTCTCCCAAGGGAGAAAGGTTCAAACACATAACAAAACATAACACTGGATACCTGGGGAAAAAGAGTACCTCACAGAAGATGTTTACAACTATTTTTGTCTATTACAAGACAAGAAAGTGCACCAGAAGTTATTAATGGACAGTTGAAAAGTTACTCAATTCAGGAACAGCTAAAGGTAATTGAACATTTGGGGAGGAAGGGAGGGAGCACAACCCCTAATGGCAGCAAAGCCAGCTAAACTTCTAGTCTGGAAAACTACCCTTCATGAGCATTTTGGGGGGAAAAATACAACTTTCATATCAGAATTCTATTTGTCAGTGATGGGAAGCAGTAATATATTAGTCTTAAGGGTTCATAGTATGTGTGTGTTCCTTTTCTACCTTCTTTTGATTTGAGAAGTTAGAAAAGTTGACCTGAAATAAAGGTAGATTGGACTTAATAAAGTTTAAAGATTTACAGTTTAAAGTAACCAGCAAGGAGGACAAATCTAGAAAGACACAATACAACTGAACCAGGCAAATTTGGAAGAGCCAGACTGTCTTGTACACTGCAACATTCAGAGAAGATATCCAGAATACACACAAAATAAAGACACAAACATGAAAGAGAATTGAGGTGGACCAGACACACACAACCCCCCAAGTTCCTCAGACAATTCAAAACAACTATCTAGTGCATGTGTGTGCACACACACCATACACAGCATTTTATCTCTCAAAATAATACTTAAACATGTGTTCAGAAGATCATGGAAATATTTTGTTACTGAGCTGAGCTCTGACCTATTTGGTTTCTGAATTCTTGACTCTCAAACACAACTTGTTTGTTCCATGTCCCAACCACTTGAGTCTACAAACTGTGATTACAAGCTATCCATATCAACCTAGAAATATTAAATAAAGCTTCATTTCCAAATTTGCTTGTGAGTCCATGTTAAAGTGATTTTCAGCCAATGTTCATATCCTTTCAACACCACAAAAGCCCATTATTTGAATATCAAGCCACTCATCTCATTTCCCCACTCTCCCTCACACAGATCCAAGTTGTAGCTCTGGCTGCTGCCACCTTCAGGTACTGTGCTCTGGAAAAAGAGTTTGAAGGCAAGTGAGCACTCAATCTTGTCTCCCTCACCCATGTCTTAAGAGTACCCAAATGTTACAGGACAAGGTAATTCTCACTCCTGTGAAAACTAAGCAACATGCAACAAAGAGCCTACAGCCGTAAACGTAATGCAGAGCACAAACTGCATTACGTGGGACAGGGCGATCGATGATGTGGCTGGCAACCAATCTGATTAACTATGAGCCAACTCGAACTCTTCTCTAACAGGGTGTCATGACACACAGACAGAAGCAGCAACAGGAACTGTAAACAATACCTGTTAGCAATGTTTGCACAAAGTATCTAACTCAGCGCCAGATGCCAGAACTCTCAGAATCACTGCAGTGAGATAAACCGCAAACTAACAGACCGCTGAACTTTTTCTCCATACGTTGTTGCAACTCATTAATTACTGACCCTGAAATTCTTTTTCTGTTGACCTCAATACGTTCCCCACTTCTACCAGGGAAAGATTGCAGGTCCAAATCTTTCAGCCAAAAATAACTTCAGGGAGGTTTAGACTGGACATTAGAAAGCATTTCTTTACCAAGAGGGTGGTCATACACTTGAACAGGCTTCCTGAAGGTCAATGCTCCAAGCCTGTCAGTGTTTAAGAGGCATTTGGATAATGCAATTAACATGCTTTAACTCTTGGTCAGCTTTGAAGGGGTCATACAATTAAGATGATCACTGAAGATACCTTCCAACTGAAATATTCTCTTACTTAATGTTCAAAAGAAAGAACTTAAATCAGGTAGTATTTACACAAGAGAACACTTTTCTGAAGTTTGGCTTGGCCCTTTTGGGAAGCAGTGAAGAGAGGTGAAGAGAGGGCAAAGGTAGAAATAAGAATCTCTGTCTTATGAGGCCAGGCAGGTTGGGTTCAGCCTGGAGAAGAGAAGGCTCCAGGGAGACCTTTCAATACTTCAAGGGACCTTAGAAGAAAGCCAGGGACAGACTTTTCCACAGAGCTTGTGTCCTGGTTTGAGCTAAATAGAATGAATTTTCTATTAAGTGTTTTTACTTTTCAGTTAAGTCTCCTCTAAATGACTGTACTTTCTGAAACTAATGGCATGTTTTCCAGTGTTCATTTCCACAAGTGATAGTGCTTGTATGGTATTGTAGACATAGGTCTTGCTTATACTTATGCCTATGAAGAAAAGGCCACTGCCCCAAAATGGGTGCCATACTGGAATGTCATAACTGAGATGTTGCACCTGCGGGGAAGAGTGGACAGGACAGATGACCCAAAACTGACCAACAAGGTATTTCATCCCACATACGTCATACTCGGTATAAAGCTGAGGGATCATGAGGGTCTTGCCCTTCTTCTGAGATGGCCGAAGTTCAAGCAGAACCCTGCTGGTTCATCTGCCTCCTACCCTGATCCATGTGTTTCTGAATCCAGCTCCTGCATCCTGCTCCCAGCTGCTGCCGAGTCTAGTTTGCGACTTTTCCAGTGCCCTGCTCTGCAGAGCCTCTGGTGACATAAGTGTCACTGGGGGGTGGTGGGAAAAGGATCTGATAATGGTTTTGTAGATATATTTGTATATATTGCATTATTTTCTTATCTACATTATTATTCTCTACTATTAGTATTATTGTTTCATTAAGCCTGTTAGTTTTCCAACTTGTAAGTCTCTCCCTTACTCTCTTCCCCTTCTCTTCCCTGTGGAGGGGAGAGGGGTTAACAGAGAGCATCTGTCCAGCATTCAGTGGCCAGCCCAGCCCTAAACCACAACAGCTTGTAACAATAAGAAAACAAGTAATAGACTTAAACTACAGGAGGGCAGATTCAGAGTAGATAGAAAAAGTGTTTTACACAGAGGGTGGTGAGGGCCTGGCCCAGGTTGTCCAGAGAGGTGGTGGATGCCCCATCCCTGGAGACATTCAAGGTCAGGTTGGATGGGGCTCTGAGCAACCTGATCTGGTTGAGGATGTCCCTGCTCATTGCAAAGGGGTTGGACTAGGTGACCTTTAAAGGTCCCTTCCAACCCAAACCATCCTATGGTAAGAAAGGAAGAGACTTTCCACTTTTCCCCAGCTAGAAAAAACAATTTAAGTCTGGACTTAATACCATCATAAGCAACACCTGCTTCATGAATTAAGCAGCCTACAGAACTATTAGACTTACCTAGGCTTGTAGGTTTTATGAGCACATCAAGCACATCATAAAAAGGCAGGCTTTTCAGTTGGACATCAGGATGAACAGGTGGAATTGGAGGGGATGGCTGCTGCATCTCAAAGTGGGGCTTAGTGTCTTGGAGGAGCACCGAACTGACAGGTGACGAAGGCGACTGAGGCGTGACCGACGTAGAAGGGAGCGGGTGAATGCCAGCAACAGCCAGGTCAGGTTCAACAGGAGAGGAACTACTGTCTAAATTGAAAACAGCAGGTTTTATAGTCGATAAGTCCGAAAGTCCTTCAATCGTCCTTGGGTACCGACGCCTATAGAGTTCTCGGATTTTTATCTGAACTGCTGGGCTGCAGCCACTCTTCAGTAAGTGCAGGGCCCTCATTAGAAGGTCATGTTTCCGCCCACTTTTATTACGTCCAGCAAACCCCAACAACACTTGTAGTTCAGAAACACGAAAACTTGATACCATATTCTAGAAAGAAAGAGATAAAAGCGTAAGTGAACCAACAGTACCCAAGCAGGCCTTTGAGGAGCATCTGAACTTCCACCATTCTAGTTTTACACCCATCATCTTAGTTACTACCCATACCCTTAATCAACACAGGAATATAGTTAGTTCAAAGCAAAGAAACAAAACTTCCAGGATGAAGGCTGAATTTGGTTGTGTTACTGATTTCAAAGACTTCTAATTATTTTCACTCAAAAATAGCAACAACAACAACAAAATCTTAATGCAACCCAGGCAATGCTATCTTAAATTCATAGAGAGATGCACAAGCTCTAACACAATCCGTCTCACTTCATGAGATAAAAAATAAAAATCAGATTAATCAGTATTATTACCTGTATTCCAATACATTTTAAGAAATAAAATAAGCAACTGCTTAAGTTCTGCTTAGTTTATTCTGAAATATCCTTTATTTGGTGCATTGTGTTAAACATGTGAGAACAGGTACATCAGGTTTTACTCCTGAAAGGATGGCACAGCAAGGTGGACACTTTTTTTAAAAAGTTACATTATTTCATAATAACAAATTGTTTAACCAACATAATTAATTCTTCCAGAAAATGACAGAAAAATTCCTGTCCTTTTTGTATCACATTCTGGTATCATGGGACATTGAAAGATCTCTTCAAAGGAAATGATATTATTTACTTGACTATCAGAATTAATTTTTGAGGACTGAGGCTTGAACTATGAAGTTCATAAAGATTCTAGTTTTAAAAATAAATTTAAAAAGCCCACTATGCAAGAGAAAGTGATCTTTCCTCCTCCATTACTACAAACTAGTAACTCAGCATAGGTGCACCATCTCACATATTTGTGATCAAACTCTTTTCGTAGAATCACAGAATATCAGGACTTGGAAGGAACCTGGAAAGCTCCC